AAACCTAGCTAAACACTCTGTAATAATACTGAATCACCAGTGAAAGCTTTGTCTGATAATGGTAGCACACCACCTAATAACAAAGTCTGAGATGTGCCGGTATCTTGAAAAATTTTCAACATGTTTAAAACAACTTGTATCAGCAATAGAAACAAATCCCTGTGATACATACAAACACTTCTTCCTTATATATGGTTATTGTAGCATGCCTACAGATGATAATGGGTAGGTCCCCATTCACATAAATACAGTAGTAAATACTGTATGTTGGTCTGCAGTTGGAGATTCATTGTGGAATTCACTTGACTCACTTCTAGCAGTTGGCTACTTCTTCTATGTGTTGCTGGCGAACCTTATGTGTGTTGTTCTTGTCCTAAGTATTATCATTCATTACCAACCTACATGTGATTATTCTATTCAGTAACCTTCCCCAGGTTACAACAATAGTAGATGAGGGATAGATATCTGTGCAATTGGAAATATACTAAATGAAGTGTTTACAATCAGATTCTGATAAAATCATTAATTCTCATCTGATCAGTAAATTGAAGCAACATAGAAATTAGTACTTAGATCGGTGACTGCTTTGGGATACATACTGGAAGTAAGCATCCTAGGGCCAGACTGAGCAAATCTTAGTAAATAGCTATAAAACGGTCTTTCAAGTAGAAAAATAATTTTATAATCAAAACTCATGAAAAAGTAGGAGAATGGGAGAGAAACTGTAGATTTTAAAAAGATTTTCTTTGAAGGTAATGACCCCAGTCTGTTTGACATTAAATTCCCTGAGTCTAATAAAGCTAAAAAAGAAAAAGGTGGTGCAGAGGAGTAGGGTGGGGGGAGTTGGATTTATAGTCTGACATAGTATGAAATGGAATGGTTATGTTGGCATCCTTCCCAACAGGAGGCCTGGGAAAACAAAAACTGTAGGTACTTTGGCCAGAGATGCAGGTAGAGGCTTAAAACTGGTTAATTAGAGTAGGATAGGGAAAAAGAAGAATGATCAAGGTTGGGAGGGGGATCAGTCGAACTTTAATAAGAAGGAGAGAAGTAAAAAAAAAAAAGTGTGGAAGCTGGGTAGGGGGGGAGAGAAAAAGCTATAGAAGAAGAGCATAAAAGAACAACAGAAAAAAAAATGAGTAAATTGAAAATTGAACAGGAAAAAATAAAAGCATCTGTACAGGGTGGTCCGAAAGTCTTGTTACCCCCAACATAATATAATTTTCTATTTCCGATGGCTGACACGAGCTCCTATAGTGTGGAAGAAAGTGTTAGGGTGACAAGGCTTTTGGGTTTTTTTTTTTTTTTCACATCAATGCAAATACCTTAAATTTTACTAGAAATTTGAGTTCTTTTGCAGTGAAAAAACAAATTGATTTAGAAATTCTTGCAAAAATCAAATAATTGTTGGATTTTTATGAAACATTTTGTTTTTGGAAAAATCAGTAAAAATAATTTTTTTTTTTTCCACATGTGTTAACTCTGCCATACATTTAATTCTTTTATCAAATTTCAAGAAATTATTTTTTGTATTGCTTAATATTTATATTTTTTTTATAAGGACAGCTTCTCAGACAATTTAAAGCATCAGTTTTTTTTTTTATCAAACAGAAGCCCCAGTTACAGAAAATCTGCCTTGAATCAGAAAATAAAAAGATGAAATAAAACTAAGACATTTTTTAATTAGAAGTGCTTTTAATTGCTTTTATCAGTAAAAATATATTATGGACACTATTGTCTAAGAAAAAAAATTCTATGAATAATGAATTTTTGCAAGAATTGTTATTGTTGAATTATTTTTAAACTTTAATTAGAATAATTCAAACTTTTAAAATTCTGTATTAATTTGTAGTGGCCAAATGATATTGTTATTAAATTTAAATTGTGTTTACTAATCATAAACGGAAAAAATCACTACAATTAAATAAATCCCAGTATTTTAAAAATGTTGAATTTTGTAAATACAGTTGTCTGTACATGACATTATCAGAAAATAAGAGGTGCCTATAATAAACTAAAATTTTATTGGCAATTTTCTAACATTTTCTCAGTAAGGCTATTTTAGCCAAAGTGCCTAAAATTCAATAAAATATTAAATTGCTTGAAATAATTTTCTTAAATTTTAAAGATTACTGGGTAGTTAAAAAAAATTATATAAAAAAAATGTTCAAATTGTATGCAAGTAATTTTCAGTTATGTCCCCCTTATTTAAATTTACCAAACATCAGGCTGTCAATAAATCACTCAACATGTCATAAAAACACTCACTTCAGTGTTAAAAATTGCTTTTCTGCTATATTTTAAACTAATATTTGTTTCAAATCAGATTAATTAAACTTCAAAATTTCAGAAAAAGTATATTATTTTTGAAAGATTTTTTAAATAAAGAGTATTCTATTATGTTGACAGATCTGTCAATATAGATAAATTTATTGATTTTACTGATTAGTAGAAAAAAAAAAGAAAGATTCTTATCAATTTAAATTCGGTTTGAAACACAGCAAAGTATTTTACTTATTAGGAATATTAAATTTAATCTAGTAACTTAGAAAGAAAGATTTTCATTTTTTTTTTAAATACATTTCAAACTTATGTATCATTTGGAGGAGGAACCTACATAAAACTATTATTTTACATTAAAAAATATTTAAACACCAAATATCATTTTAAAAAAATAATTTCAAATACACAGAACCGTTTAAAAAAAAAAAAAAAAGTAAAGAAAACATCAAATACACAACAATCGTTCAAAAACTATTTACGCAAAATTGCTTAAAAAGAAAAGCTATTTGCTAATTTTCTCTTCAAAAACTTAATCAGCTTTTATACCTAAAAAAACAAAAACAAAAAAAAAAAAAACATGGACTCAGGCACCCACTGCTGAAAAAGGATTGGTCAGAAGGCATACCTCGACATTTATGGTAAAAGCTAGTGGCATGAAATCTTGACAAATGAATACAAATAAAAAATAATTCTGGAAAACCTCAAGAGAAAAGTGGTTAGATTTTGTTAACATTTTACTACTGAGATGTCCTGAAGATAATGTGAATTAACATTGAAATATTGTGAGCTTGATTCATTTATCTTATCTTTGGGACATGCCAATAGTAAAGGATATGATTTGAGAATTACTTTATAAACCATAAATACAATATCTCTTGATTATAAAGCGATTTTCAAATGCTATCCTTTACTTGAGTCATGGTTTGGAGTTATCACACAAATCTCAAGCAAATATATTTGCAATCATCATCTGAATTCTGATGAATAGAATGCACAGCAGAATTAAACTGGAAATAGCACAAGAACAGTATAGGTTCAGTAACAAAACTGGAACAAGGAATGTGATATTTATACACAGAATAATAATAGAAAGAGCAATACAAATGCAAAAGTATGTATTCTAAAATACATATATGTTTTAAGGGTTGTCCTGTCAGTTAAGGCCAATATGCTGACTGCATCACTATACAAAGTGGGTAAACCCCCAATAAAAAGAGGCCAACTGTTTGCTGAACTTACATCTACCTTTTTAAACTGTTGTGAAAGCTTAGGACAATGTATGGTGGTGTAATGAATAACAGCTCAGAATGCGGAATTGGAGAGCCGAGTTCAAATTCCAGTAGAGGTCATTACATTCACTTATGTGCTAATACCCTTGGGTAAGGTATGAATCTATCTCCTCTTTCCCGAGCTATGGGTAAACAGACTTTGTCCAGTAGCCTTGGTTGGTAACCAGTCTAGAAGGAAAATGCAGATTGGAGAGTGTTGAGCTCTGTCAGGCTATCTTATCCAGGAAACACTACTGCTAATGTGGCAACAGTACGTGTGGTGCCACTATGACCATAACAGATTACAAGACTTGTGATAGTGTGAAATCCAGATCTATGTCTACTTTCCTATCGTTCACAACAGAATTCAGAATTAAATAACTTGGAAAAGGTTGATATGCCATAAACTAAACTTAACTATTTTAAGGTTTTCTCACAATAAAACTGACATTTGGGTTGCAAGCAACATCAAACCAATAAGTGGATGCTTAGCTGAATATTTTAAGTGTTAGCCTTTGAACCATGAAACTAGAGTTTGAATGAGAAGTAAGAATTTTATTTTTATTTAAAAAAAGTTAGTTGATCAGGTAGATGGAGCACGACAGCTCAGGAGGACACTCCATCTAGGGGAAGTAAAACCCTGATTTTAAACTTCAACTGCTTTGCTGACATTCAAAATAAGGAAAAGGCTATGGAAGTAAATCCAGACAGAAAACCTAGAGAAGAACCCCAAAAGCAGTTGGCTCTTAACATTGACAACTTCCTGGCAACTTTTGCAGCCAAGCCATCCCCAAATGTAATGCCCTGTATTCCTCTGGAATTTGTTGGTACAGCAGAGAGAGTGGGGTAGTCTGGGCAGCACATGGCCTTCATATAGCATCACCAGTCTGGGAGAAGGAAAACACTGAATTCAAACCACCTATTGCTTTGTAGGTCTTGCTTCTGAGAGGAGGGATGGGGTAAACTCAACAACCCAGTGCAAAAGGAACTGACAAGCCATGAACCATAATTGTGAGATGGAAGGGAGTGGTGACCACAGCAGCAGTACAAAATGTGCTAACAAAATAAATGAATGAATTGCTTTTAGAATAAATATAACACAATTTTAATTAAGAAATTTGTATTGTCCTGGCATTGTCTCAAAGAATCTAACCAGTTGTCCCAAATTAATATCCTATTGTCCCCAGCATCAATCCCTGCCTGTGCCAGACTAAAATAAATAACTATTCAGATACCTAAATGGAAGCAGTAGCTGACAATATTACTGTTGTCGTGGTTATAAAACTTGCTTGTTATTCCATATTTGTGGTCTTGTGCCTTACAAAGTTCACTTCAAATATACTTTACATCATAAGTCTCTTACTCTTTCTCATCTATATAACAGCTCAAAGAGACTTAGGTTGAACAAAAAATATTTTAATGTCTCCTTGTTTTTATTTATACTTTCAGTTACTCGATCAAGAAGGACCAGAAATTACTAATTCTGTAATAGGAGTAGGTTTTCCTTGTCCCAGACCACCTCCACCTGCAATTGCAAGCTCCCATAAGGGAAGCCACCCATCTGGAATCTTGCTCAATCGAAGACCCCTTCTTTCAAGAAACCAACCCAAGACTCAACCACTCCCAAAGCAACCATTAAAGCCAAGAAATAGTTCTGCTACTAAAATGTCAGTACCAAGACCAACTGGAAATCCCAAAGTAATCAGCAATTACAGACCAGAAACCTCAAAGAAGGGAAAAATGCCTAAACAATCAAGTCTTGGTTCTAATACTTCAGAAGAACAGAATGAAAATGGCAATTCTTTATCATGGCAAGGTTTAGCCCCAGTTTCAGTAAATGCACCAGCTGCATTCACAGCACCAGTGAATCCAACACTGTCTCAGCAAGAACCCTTGCCAAAATTCCTTCACAGAACCAGCATACCACCTCCTGGACCGAATCCTGGTACAGGGACAAATTTTAGCAACAACGCCTGGTACTCTGATCGGCCTGGAAGTTCTGATTTGACTACGGGTAATTTTAAATTGGCAGAAATGTCAGATTTATGTTTGTCTGCTCCAGACTCTGGGCAAGGAACAAAGGTCATGACAGAATCTCAGGATGGTACAGCATCTCAACAGCATTTGTCTCCTTCATCATCAACTTCTTCATTAAGTTTGGCTTATAATAAATCTGGGAATGCCAATATGTTTCATATGCCATCCCAACCCACAGGTAAATTTCTATTTTTGCAAACATTGCTCAAAGTCAAACATTCCTTTGGTTAAATAATGTTTTAGAGGCATGACATTGTTAATCTTTAAAATAAGGAAGCATTTCAAACTGTACATTGACTAAGTTCTGTTTAAATTTTATTGTTTAATGCAATACATGTATGAATATGACCTGATGTGCCAAAAGTCATATGATAAGTGCATTGTAACAATATAGGACATGCTCTAGCCTGGAAAAGTGCACCAACTCAACATGGCATGAATCCCATAAAAAGGTCAGATAACTTCTGGTGAGATATTGAGCTATGCTATTTTGATAATTCTTAACTCCATATATATATATATATATATATATATATATATATATATATTTTATTAAAGACATTTTTATGTTTAACGTTGTTATTTATAGATACAAGTATTTAAGCAAATGCTCTGTTTATGATAAACAGTATTAAATAACATTTACCGGCCTGAATGTCCGAGAAATTTTCATAGAAAATATTCGTTCTTTGACAGGATTCGAAACTGCATCCTATATGGAACCATCATTTACGCTGACGTGCCTTAACCGTCTCAGCCACAAAGAACCTTTCGGTAGACAAGGTTGAATTTACTGCTTATAAACTTCAATCTTCCATGAATCTCGTACATTCATAACTCCTTTGGCGTATCAAATGTAAACAAATGACGTCATATATTAAGAAATGGACAATTTATTTATTAAAGACATTTTTATGTTTAACGTTGTTTCGTGGCCGGTAAATGTATAGGATGCAGGTTCGAATCCTAATTTAATTCAAATAATTATATTGAAGTTTTCGGCTCTTGTTTTGAAACATGAGACCTCTTATGTCGCGAGTTGGAATCATTTTTTTAAATAAATAATCATATTATAAAATTCTGTCACTTCCATTAATTCATCAGTCTGTTACACCCTCTAATATAGCCATACATTGACTGACCAAAACCTAATTTTGGAGAGAAGTACAAACAGATAAAGGGGTACAAAGTACAGTTGGTTTTACTAGGGTGCATAGCTTAGTACAATACATTTTAATTAAGGGGAGGACAAATTGAATGAAACAGAGTCTGTAAATTGACAAAAAATTTTAGCGATAGCTTCAATAATACTAAATACTGTGAGGATTTCTATAAATATCAGCATGTTTAAAAAAAAATCTAGTAACACAAACTTCCTCCTTTAATTTGATCTTGTGTCATACTAAATTTAGGAAACATCAATAAAGGGAGATGAATGATAAGAAAACTTTATCGGATTAACTCCCTTAGATTAGATCATTTTTTTTTAAATCATTATTTTTTCATTATGTTAATTTTAGACATTTGCCCCCAACATTTTTATGGATATGCTGGCCGCTGGTTTCTGAGTATCTCCATCTGCTAGAGTGGTTAGCTAATCCCTGTTGTTGGCTCCTCTTCAGGCACATTTGCGTTTGTTCAGCACCCACAGAGCCAACCTCTGGTTTATATTGCAACTATATCAAGTGGACCTTTTTCATGAATTTTTACCTTTAAAATTGAAGTGTCATACAGATTAAAATATATTAAGTCATGTTTATTTTTAATTCTTTAATTTTAATTAATTTAATTAATGATGGTGAAAGAGTTTCCGTTATTAGTTTCTTTAAATATTATTATATTTTAATATGTTTAAATAAATCACTCCTTACACTTGTCAAGGAGTATCAGTAGATTTTGTAAATGAAGTGCTCAATATCAAGAAACAGAGCATTAATAGTAAATAAAACGTTCTGAGATTCATCTTCTAACTCAGAGTTTTGCAGATCCACACATCAATGGTAAAATAAAATCAATTTATCTTGCCTCTGAAGTTTAAATTTACTTCTGTAAAACTTTTTATATAATTCAATTTAAAGAAAAACAGACAACTTTAAGGTTCCATGGTTATAATTTATTTCCCCAGGGAGTTTCTTCTTCCCTGGATCATTAGACCTCGCTTCCAAGGATGAAAAAATGAATTTAAACTTACACTTTTGAAGGGTAGTATTAAGCTGATGTAAGGTGATATAGAGAGTAGTGAGAGACAGTGTGACAGACATGGTCAAAATTAGAGAGGGAAGGGAGAGATAGGAATGCTTTTAAATTTATTTTTATTACAATACTTAATATTGAGGAAGGAGGTAAGGATCAGACATTAACCTATTTAATAGGTCAACTCACTAGAAATGATATAAAGAGAAAAAAGGGAAGAAGTAAAGATATAAGAAATAAGAGATGGACTTAGGGTTTTGAAGGAAAGAGAGGGAGATTATATATATATATAAAGGGCATTTCATTAACATGGATTATATATATGGACATTTCATTAAGGCAGATCAAAGTCAGCAGTAAATAAATCAGTGTTATTGGTGAAAATTTATTTCTATATTGGATCATGTTATTTAAGTCATGGAAATTATGTGTGAAAAATAATATCACCCAAATGTCTGCCAAATCTGAAAGAAAAAGAAAAAAATCATCAGATGCTTAAACTTAATTCACATTTAAAATTTTATATATATATATATATATATATATATATATATATATATATAAATTACAGGATGTGGAGGAATTAGAACAGAAACATTAATGATGGGGAGAAAGAATTAAGAACAGAAACATTAATGATGGGGAGAAAAAATAAGAACAGAAACATTAATGATGGGGAGAAAGAATTAAGAACAGAAACATTAATGATGGGGAGAAAGAATTAAGAACAGAAACATTCATGATGGGGAAGAATTAAGAACAGAAACATTAATGATGGGGAGAAAGAATTAACAGAAACATTCATGATGGGGGGAGAAAAATTAAGAACAGAAACATTAATGATGGGGAAAAGAATTAAGAACAGAAACATTAATGATGGGAGAAAGAATTAAGAACAGAAACATTAATGATGGGGAGAAAGAAAAAATTAAGAACAGAAACATTAATGATGGGAGAGAACAGAATTAAGAACAAAACATTAATGATGGGGAGAAAGAATTAAGAACAGAAACATTAATGATGGGAGAAAGAATTAAGAACAGAAACATTAATGATGGGGAGAAAGAATTAAGAACAGAAACATTAATGATGGGAGAAAGAATTAAGAACAGAAACATTAATGATGGGGAGAAAGAATTAAGAACAGAAACATTAATGATGGGGAGAAAAGAATTAAGAACAGAAACATTAATGATGGGGAGAAAGAATTAAGAACAGAAACATTAATGATGGGGAGAAAGAGAAAGAATTAAGAACAGAAACATTAATGATGGGGAGAAAGAATTAAGAACAGAAACATTAATGATGGGGAGAAAGAATTAAGAACAGAAACATTAATGATGGGGAGAAAGAATTAAGAACAGAAACATTAATGATGGGAGAAAGAATTAAGAACAGAAACATTAATGATGGGGAGAAAGAATTAAGAACAGAAACATTAATGATGGGGAGAAAGAATTAGAACAGAAACATTAATGATGGGGAGAAAAGAATTAAGAACAGAAACATTAATGATGGGGAGAAAAGAATTAAGAACAGAAACATTAATGATGGGGAGAAAAAATTAAGAACAGAAACATTAATGATGGGGAAAAGAATTAAGAACAAACATTAATGATGGGGAAAAGAATTAAGAACAGAAACATTAATGATGGGGAGAAAGAATTAAGAACAGAAACATTAATGATGGGGAGAAAAGAATTAAGAACAGAAACATTAATGATGGGGAGAAAGAATTAAGAACAGAAACATTAATGATGGGGAGAAAGAATTAAGAACAGAAACATTAATGATGGGGGAGAAAAGAATTAAGAACAGAAACATTCATGATGGGGAGAAAAGAATTAAGAACAGAAACATTCATGATGGGGAGAAAGAATTAAGAACAGAAACATTAATGATGGGGAGAAAGAAAAGAATTAAGAACAGAAACATTAATGATGGGGAGAAAAAGAATTAAGAACAGAAACATTAATGATGGGGAGAAAGAATTTAAGAACAGAAACATTCATGATGGGAGAAAGAATTAAGAACAGAAACATTAATGATGGGGAGAAAAATTAAGAACAGAAACATTAATGATGGGGAGAAAGAATTAAGAACAGAAACATTAATGATGGGGAGAAAGAATTAAGAACAGAAACATTAATGATGGGGAGAAAGAATTAAGAACAGAAACATTAATGATGGGGAGAAAAGAATTAAGAACAGAAACATTAATGATGGGGAGAAAAAATTAAGAACAGAAACATTAATGATGGGGAGAAAAAGAATTAAGAACAGAAACATTAATGATGGGAGAAAGAATTAAGAACAGAAACATTAATGATGGGGAGAAAAGAATTAAGAACAGAAACATTAATGATGGGAGAAAGAATTAAGAACAGAAACATTAATGATGGGGAGAAAGAGAAAGAATTAAGAACAGAAACATTAATGATGGGGGAGAAAAAATTAAGAACAGAAACATTAATGATGGGGAGAAAGAATTAAGAACAGAAAACATTAATGATGGGGGAGAAAGAAAAAGAATTAAGAACAGAAACATTAATGATGGGGAGAAAAGAATTAAGAACAGAAACATTAATGATGGGAGAAAGAGAAAGAATTAAGAACAGAAACATTAATGATGGGAGAAAGAATTAAGAACAGAAACATTAATGATGGGGAGAAAGAATTAAGAACAGAAACATTAATGATGGGGAGAAAGAATTAAGAACAGAAACATTAATGATGGGGAGAAAGAATTAAGAACAGAAACATTAATGATGGGGAGAAAGAATTAAGAACAGAAACATTAATGATGGGGAGAAAGAATTAAGAACAGAAACATTAATGATGGGGAGAAAAGAATTAAGAACAGAAACATTAATGATGGGGAGAAAGAATTAAGAACAGAAACATTAATGATGGGGAGAAAATTAAGAACAGAAACATTAATGATGGGGAGAAAGAATTAAGAACAGAAACATTAATGATGGGGAG